GCCAGCACTCTGTTCACCCACTATCTGTGTACTGTTTCTGACATATTGACTGCCTGAATAGCTTTTAAAAAAGTAACATCACCTGGCCATCCCCTTAATCAACAAAGCCATTTAGGTACTCAAGTGCAGCAGCAGTACCAACTCTTGGAGGTTCCTAGGGTGCAGTGATTGAAAGTTTGTGTGGTAGTATTAGACATCTCTTAGTCACTTCTGGGCAACTAAGCAATGAACCACAGTTTGAAAACAAACTGTTGTTATAACAACAAGTACCGCCCAGCACTTCAATTTGCTTTAGTTCTCCTAATGTAGTAATAAATTTTGTTAGCTGTTGAACCTCCTTGAGATAGTAGTGTTCATTTGAAATAAAGCATGCTATCTGCACCTTACATCTGTTGCTCTTTATTTATTATGCTCCATTTTTTATGGTTTCTACACTACACTACAGAAACTGAGTTGGTGAAAGAAAAGACTGGGCAGAACTGGAGTTTTCTGATGTAAACTGGATAGTGAAATGTTGAAAACCCAGCCATCTGCCAGAAAGGGCTTGGCTGATAAAAGAGCCAGCAGGCAGTCAGCAGAGAGATCTAAAAAAAGTTTTTGTCACAGGTTAAGTGCATGTGGCCTCCAAATGTACAAAGTAAGTTGACACTGAGGTTCTTACAGTATCACTGACAAAGGATAAGTAAGTTCTAGCACATGCATAAGCTTTATACTGTTCTTATTAATCTTCTGTTGAGTGAATCTCCCAGGCCTCCCAATCAGCCTTATATCAAGAAAGTATTAATCTCTTCTTTTTATAGCAGGTCGCTGCTGAAACTGGTTAAAAAACTGCCTCCAAAAAGCTTTGCTATTGCCTTCTCTTCTGGCAGTAGCAACTCACCTGTTAATTGCTTGTAATTAAAAGTTCTCACCTCCTGTGCCTGAGTAAGGGCCCATGCCTCTTCAGCTCCCTACCCCTCCTGTCAGCTGATAACACAGCAACCCTACTCGGAAAACAGATCTTGCTTCTCAATAGGATATATTAACTTCCACTAAGGGCATTTGAAAAAAAAAAAAAAATATCAATGCAAGGCACAAAGATACACAGGTAAACAGTCTTCTTTAACCTATTTGCTTGCACAGGTACACAATAAAATTACCACCAACTGCACTAGTCAGTAGCCCCAACAGAAAGTGATACTGGCAGACAGTATTTGCAGATTTAAGTAGGGACTCTACTCCACTGCTGTTAATGGGCATTCATTCTTCAGTAGCCTTCACTGAGTCTAGACATATTGCCTTGATCAATCGGAAAGCATACTGGTGTCACAACGTAATCAAGCTTCTTCTATCTGTACCAACTTTGCATGGTACTTACTTAAGCAAGCACACCTAACTTTAAGTAGATGAGTCAGTCACATGCCTAAAAATAGGACTTAAAGTACTTACAGGCTTTGCTGAAGCACAATTCATTAACATATGGTAATACAACTTTATATACTAACTTGCTGAGCCAGTGTTTTTTCACAAGACTGCTAAGTGAAAAATAACATACACAGACACTGATAAAGTCACAACATAGTTTCAGTATTCTTCAGTTTCATAAAACTTACTTACCCCAGAACAAGAGTATTTCTTAAGACAACAGACTGAGTAGTCTCTGAATGAAAAAAAACATATCAAATGAGCAATGAAGGTTTCAGATGATTTGCTTATTATATTCAGGTAGAATGCAGGAATCTCTAACAGCACAAGTTGGCATGTGCTATGTCTAAAGATTGCACTACAGGATCAAGTTTAGAAAGAAAAATCCTACCACAGAAGTGTGTGAAGGCACTTGGACATCAAGCTTCTGGGCCCTGATGCATAGGGAAAAAAAAAAAATCTTAGCAGAGCTTACTGAACTGATATGCAAAATTGTACAACAGAAATACAAAAATGGATATTTTTTAATACTGACATTGATGTTTGGCAGTCTGAGAAAAATAACTGTCATGGTGGATATTCATAATAACACTTAAGAGATTCATTTTATTGCTAGGGGACAAGAAACCCTAATCTTAACTTTCCATTTCAGTTCCCACCATCATCTCCAGTTTCACCAACAATTTTTCCTTTCAAGAGGGGAAAAAAGAAAAAAAACAATTTTTTTTTCTGTCTTGAATTTCAGAAGCCTTCAAATGGAATGGAACGCAAAACCCTGCATCTCTGCTAAAATATTTATTTAAACTAAATCTCCTCTACTTTTTTTTTTTTTTTTTTTTTACCTTTTTAAAGACCAGAATGGTCTCAAATCAGGTTAGAGCTTAGATTTAAAAAATATCAGAATATCTAATGTCTATTGAAAAAAAAACCATGGTGTGACACAGTCAAAAATAAATCATGCAGTCATTCCCATACTGGAAATGGGAATACCATAGTAATAGCAGCACTGGTAGAAAAGAGAAAGGATGACAGGAAAAATAAGAGATCCTGAGACGTCAGCACAAGTGCACAAAAAAGTCAGACCCTTCTTAAAGGCTGTAACAACCTGCTTTTGCAAATGGCATCCAAACTTTATGCAAAATGCCTAGGCAGCCTACAAAGCGCACAGAGAAAATGAAAACACACAAACAGCCAATCACAATATTTAGCACAAGAGAATATGAAGCACATCGTAACAGAACGCATAGCAGATGCAACACTCAAATCCCATTGCTCTGTCTTAACTGAAAGGCATTACCTTTAACATTTGCAATCCACACTCCTGGAGATAAGTGTTTTTACCCTTTTCTTTCCAAAAAAAAAAAAAAACCTGAATGAGCTCAGTCATCTCTTTTAAAATACATCTGTAGGCTGTACGCTCATCTCTGACCATTTTGCCATGGTTAGAACAGTCCAAGATATGCCTATACATGTCTCTGTAAACAGCCAAGATTGTAGCATGCTACCATGAAGAAAAAGATGGCACCAGTCTGTAAAGCAGGAAAGGCGCATGACTACTTTGTTACACTTGCTGAACAACATTCTGGACGGTTCATCTGGACTTAACAAATATTAAAATGCCTAGTAAAACATTTTAAATGCCCAAAGGGCACCTTCTAATCACTACTGTACACAGCAGTGATTAGAGGAAAGATAAAGGGTTTCTTTTGGCACGTTTTAAGGTAGAGGAACCGTACTCTATTTTCCAGTAAGATTGGTCATGTTAGTGTGTTAGACATTCTTTGCAAAACCATAAAGGACTGGTCCCTCTGCTTTACTGCAGAGGAATACCTAGTTCTGAGTCTCTATTAGTTTCACTAATTTATGTGTGAAGTTGCAGAGTTCTACTAAAATAGCGGCAATTCTATATACACAGTAACTGTCATTGAAACAAAAATGTATGCAGGCCTTTGGTTTTCCATGTTAAACAGCAGAGATTTGCAGGATGGCAATTTTGGATGTGGGCACCCAGAGCTACATAACCTCCTTTTAATCAGTTAAGTTCTCTTCTAGATCTGGATTAAAACTCTGTGGTTTAGCCCTGGAAGCAGTCCATAAAGGAATGTCAATGACAAGCAAGTTTTACATTAACAATATTTTTTCAGGTGTTCCTCATTATTCTGCTTTAAAAGAGTTAGAGTTCAGAGACAGAAGTTTCCTTCACTCAGGTATTAAACCATTTTAACAACTACTAAGTTAGATCAGCAGGA